GCTCAGGTGCTTTTGAAATTTTTCTACTAATTTGCATGTGCCTGTGCAAATTACCTGTGTGTGTGCGTGTGTGTGTGTGTGTGTGTGTGTCTTAATTTATGTTTCCCTGGAAAATAAAATCAGGGTGAGAACGCCCATGTAATAGAAGTAATTTGCTAAGAGTGTTGAAACATAACTTTGGTGTGTCTGTTTAGTTCTAGTGTGTACTGTTGAGTACCGTTTTGGAGATTCTTTTGTGTGTGCGTGTCTGCCCAGGGGCTACCTTTCCAGGCGGCCAGGAGCGCAGTCTTGGAAATGCAAATTGACACTACTGAAGGGTGTGTGTCTCGACCGGGCTGTGCCTGCTTGCAAATACATTGCAGGGTGGAGGCTTTCCAGAGGGGGGAGGAGGAACTGGTAGGGGTTCATTCCTCTCCCCGTTTCAACATGTTGGGTGTATCCACACGGACGCGAGAAGGAGCCACTCAAGCCACAAAAGCAAGAAGGGGTAGTTGGGGAGGCTACTGTGAAGCTGCTTAATTTTCTTGCTAGAGGGGGCCTTGGAGTGTCTGGGGTGCCGCGCAGTTGGCAGAAAAAAAAAAAAAAAAAGAAAAAAAAGAAAAAAAAATTTGGCACGCATTTTGGCTGGAGGTTTGTGGTGTGTGACTCCAGCAAGAACACAAGGAATATTAAAATTGCCATTGCCCCAGAGAGATAAGGAGTTACGGCGGTTTTGGGGGGTAGTGGGGTACTGCAGAACATGGATTGAGAATTTTTCTGTTGTAGCCAGACCTTTATATGACTTTTTTAACGCAACACAATCCTAATGTTGTAGTATGGATGCCAAAAGGAGAGCAAAGCTTTAGAAAATTAAAAGGCAAATTAGTTAATGCCCCAGTCTTAGCTCTTCCAGACTCAGAAAAGGAATTTGAGCTGTAGGTGGATGTTAAATAGGGCCATGCTAGAGGAATTCTGGTATAAGAGCATGGGGGAGCACGGTGGCATGTTGCTTGTTTTTCTAAGCTGTTGTATCCAGTGGCCAGAGGCCGCATTGTCTGCAGAATTGTGCAGCCACAGCGTTGATGGTGACTGCAGCCCCAGGGCTGGCAAACGTAGGATATCTGATGTTAAAGTTTCACATTAGGGTAAAGCTTTGTAAACCAAAATGGCCTCTAAGTGGATGGGCAGTGCTTGGTTATTACAGTATGAAACATGTTTAATAAAAGAAGAGGATTTAGAATTGAGAAGTGGGGAAGGGTTTAACCTGGCCTCCTGTTTGAATGGCCCTGAGAAGGGGGCCAGGAAGAAACTCATGCTCACGGGCTGGGGGGTCCCTCCTGTGCTCTCCCAGTGTTGGGTGGGGGATGGGAGGGCTGGGCCTGCTCAGGACAGCTCCGTCCTCATGACCAGAGGCTCCTTCATACTCCAGTTGAGTGGATCAGATCCCATCCCGTGCTCACCCTGGTGGTGCTGGCTCTGCTCCTGCTCCTGCTCCTGTCTTTGTAGTGTCCTTGGCTGTTGTGTCAGGTAAGGGAGGGGCAGCTCCCAGTGCTGGGTCCTCTCTCCTTCCCAGAAGTTCCTTTTCCGTCTCACCAGGCACTTTATTTACTGGCTCGGGCTGCGCACACAGGCCCTGGAGCTGCAGTGGGTGGACGGCAGCAGCTTCAACTCCTCGTGAGTCCTGGGGCACTGGGCAGGGCCTGGGGGGAAAAGGGGCACAAGGTGTCCTCCCATGGTGCCAGCGGTGTCTGCTCCTTCTTGCAGGGTTCCTGTCCAGGGCAATGGAGAATGTGTGTACCTGGATGAAAATGCACTCAGGAGAGGGACCTGCTTAAATCAGTGGCTGTATCTGTGCAGCAGGGCCCAAACTCACCAGTGACAGGAACAGAGAAAGCTCCTTCTACGTGCTAGGCAGTCACAGCTTCACCTCTTCCCCCCCAGCATCAGGATATCCTCCTTCAGCCACTGTGTTCGCCTTGCTCTGAATCTCTGGGTCATCTCGGTGCCCTTCCCTCCTGCTTTCCCTGCCGGGAGCTGCCTCTTGTTTCCAGGCAGGGACATAGAGGGGCTGTGCCAGTGCTCTGTGTCCCATATGAATGTGATATTTCCTTGGCTAGGGTGTGGCATTAATAATACTAAGGCTGTGATTTGACCCCAGACAGCCATTCCCTTATGAGTTAGATTTTATCCTTGTAGATCCCTTCCAACTCAGATGAATTTGTGCCCCCCCACCCCCCATCAACAATAGCTGCTGCTTTTGTCTTCTGCATTACTTTGTTACTTTTACATTTAATGTTTGTGAAGTCCCCCCGCTGTCCCTTGTGTCCCCTTGGGCCGGGTAGCCCCGTCCTGTTGCAGAATGGCTTAATGAAACGGGACTTAGCTCCCTGGAAGGCTTGTGCAAGCAAACTGGGTGTTAGCAAATTTTAGGCCTTTGCATTAATAACTGAAAATATTGCTCAGGGGCAGCATTGGGCCTTTGTGTTGATAATGGGAAGCATTGCAGGATGTGTGTGGCCAGAGTGTTCAAAGACAGAATGTTTATGATATGTTGCAGGATGCAAGCACTAAGAATAGTCAAGGTCAGGATGTTTTTGAGAGATTGGGAAAGAACCGAAGAGGGGAGTGAAATGAGAATGTAACTTTCTGTGCTTAGCCAATAATATTGTAGCAAGTAGGCATAATTGACTGTGAGCATATATAACCAGTGTGTGACATGAATAAAGTTGAAGTTTGCTTTATCACTCATATTGAGTGGTCCAAGTCTTCCCTTCTGTGACACCGTCCCTTTTCCTGTTCCCGTTCCCTCGTTCCATCCCAGCTGGAGGAGCCTTGGAGCTGCCGTGGGGGCCGTGGGGCTGCCCCGGGGGCTGCGCCCCGAGCTGGGGCCTGTGCCAAGTTCAAAGGCAGAACTGTCCCCGGTGCTTCCTGAAGTTGGTGGAACGCAGCTCCAGTTCCACCAGCTCACATCATGAAATCATCATGGGGCATTTTGCAAGTCCCCACCTGTCAATCACTGATTCCTGATCCGTGCCCAGCCATGCCAAGGAAGGTCTGCAATTCCCTCACAGTTTAAGGCTCCTGCTCTGTTTCATTTGCCCTCAGAGAATTTCAAAACTCACAAATGTCCCAGCCATTTTCATTCCTTGGGCCTTTTTCCTCTCAATTCCCCATGACCATTTCACACCCAGAAGTTCAATCATTCAGCAGTCAGGTCCCTGCTCTGCTCTTTAGTGTCGGTGCCTCTCAGCACATCAGCAGAGCCCCGTGGGGATTAAAGCTCTTCCATTGCTCTCATTCCTTTGCCAGTGCAGTCCCCAAAATCGTGGGGCTGTTTTTAAATCCTCAAGCTAATGCAGTCCTGGCTGTGGATTTTCCCACTCAAATGGGAACAGTTCCTGTCTAGAGTAGCCCAGAGATGTGCAGGAAATGTGTCCTTTAAATGTGTTATGGTGAACCCTCCGAAATTCTCTTTTATTGGGGTTAAGAGTGTGGATGGCTCAGCTCCCATCTTTTATTAATTGCTATTAACTCCTATTAACTACTAATTGATCATCTTTGCCATTTGCTGCTGTGCCTGGCAAAATTGGGGTGTTACACCCAGAGTCACATTGCACCATGAACCCACTCCCTAAAAATCTGTTCATGACTGAAAAAACCCTTTTCAGCTTTCAGAGATGTTTTTTCACTCTTACCAGGCCTTTGTGCAGTTTTAGTTTCATTCTTACATCTTCTGCTCTTTGGTTCCTTCCACAAGGGATGTTGGTGCTTTCTCGGTTTGCTTTGGGACAGGCTCAAATCAGGAAGTCACTCCCTGTCCCATGAAAATCCAAGGTTCCAAATGTTAACACTCAGGAATAGACTCATATTAGATTCAGTAATTTTAATCCGAATTTCCCCTTCACAAGACTTGATCTCTACCTTCAATTTTCCCAGTGAATTTTCTCCCAATAAAGTTTCTGGAGAGTTGAGTAGAAGAATCCATGTGTTGTCCATCATTTCCCCAGTTTGAATTTATTTGGATGGAAAAGGTGCCCATTTCACTGACATTTATGACAAGGTCACCACTTCCCTTCCCTTGCAAGGTGTTTCATATGGAATAAGCAGCTCCTGTGCCCACCAAAAATCTAAATTTTCCATTTCCCAGAAGCTCTGATAGGGCAGAAACTTCTGATTCCCTTCACAATTTCTCTGCTCTTGTGAGGAGAGGGCTCGCAGCAGTCCTGGGTTTTACCTGAGGATGCTCTCAGTGTCCATCCTTTTACAAAATGCATCTGGATTTGTTCCCAATCTTCCTAACGTAGGAGAAGGAACTGAGCCCCTTCCCCTGCCAGAGAGATCCCCCCTCCCCGGGGGCAAAGTCCCCAGCTGATTTACCTCTAACTCCTGTTACTTTATTACCTTTGATTATTTTTACTGTACCATTATCTGATCCTGCTCTGCCATGTTTAACACTCCGTGGATGGGGATCTTAGACCCAAATTTAACCCTTCTTTCTCCTGACAATCCAACTGTTTAGAGCAGAACTTGTCCTATGCCACAGATGGAACAAGAGTGACATTAATTGAATTTTATTATCAAAGAGATTGGACCAAGAGAATGAGAAATAAAACAAATCCTAAAGAAACACCTCCACCCCACCCTTCCCTCCTTCCCACTGTTCCCTTCATCCCCCATTCCCTCCCTCCCCCGCCCCCGGTGCCGCAGGGGATGGGGGTCACAGTCGGGCCCTGTCACTGCCTCTCACTCAGGGGAGGAATCCTTGTCCTGCTCCGGCCTGGGCTCCAGCGGGGCTGCAGGGGATCCCTGCTCCATCCCGGGCTCATCCCCGGCGGCTCCTCGGCCTCCTGCGGAGTGTGGGCACCGCGCCAGGAGCTGTTTGCTGCTGCTATTCCGGGGAAAGGGAGTAGCCAAGGGGACGGTTCCGGGCTGTATTGCGAGGACGACCCAAGCTCCCAGGTGCTGATTGCTCCCGCCCCTGCTCGCTCTCGCTGGCTGATTGGTCAGAACGGGATTATAAAATGGTTCTTGTGCGTTCCACTCCGCCTTTCTCAAATCGGCGCTGCCGCCGTTGCCGGAGCGTCTATGAAGAAGCCACCTGTCACAAGCAGGAAGGTACTACTGGTGGGAGTGCAGGGAGTGAAGATCTGGAAGAAAGGTTCTGCACCAGTGACAGGAGTGCGAGGGAGCTGCTGGGTGCCCAGGACAGATCAGCAACCACGAATAAACAGGAGAGAACCCTGAGAGGGTTTCTGGGTGAGTGCAGGGCCAGCCCTGTAGGGAGGGGACAGTGTCACCCAGAGCACAGCGCTGGCAGGGCTGGGGCTGTTCCCAGGGCTCTGGAAGGGGCCTCGTGCTCTTCCGGGACCGACACCCCCGGCCCTGGGCACTTGTGCTGTCACAGGCTGTGCCCTGGCTGTGTCTCTGTCCCTGGTCTATCTGCTGGCAGCTGAGTGAGGGGCTCACGGGCTGGGGGGTCTCTCCAGTGCTCCCCGGGCGTTGGGTGGGGGATGGGAGGGCTGGGCCTGCTCAGGACAGCCCCATCCTCACAGCCAGTGGCCCTGTCCTGCTTTCCAGCTCCAGTCAAGTGGATCAGATCCCATCCTGTGCTCACCATAGTGGTCCTAATTCTTCTCCTGTTCTTGGTCCTGTCTTTGGGTGTGTCCTTGGCTGTTGTGTCAGGTAAGGGAGGGGCAGCTGCCTCAGCCCAGCCCCTGGGGCAGAGCGGGGTCCCTGCTCCCTGTGCAGGGAATCCTCAGAGCTTCTCCTTTTCCCTCTGCAGGGAGAGGACACAGAGAGACTCCAGTTACTCCAGTAACTCCAGTTATTCCAGTTATTCCAGTTACTCCAGTTACCCCTGACACTGCAGTGCTGCTGGCCTGTCCCCATGGCTGGGTCGGGCACCGCGGGATCTGCTACTTCCTCTCGAGGGATCAGCTCAGCTGGGATCAGGCTCAGGCTCGGTGCTCTGAGCTCGGGGCCTCCCTGGCCGTGCTCAAGGACTGGGAAATGGTGAGTGAGGGGATTTGGGGGGGCCGAGGGGAGCCTGGGGGGCTCCTGAGCCCGGGGTGCAGCTCCCAGTGCCGGCTCCTCTCTCCTTCCCAGGAGTTTCTCTTCTGCCTCAGTGAGAATGAGGATCACTGGCTCGGGCTGCGCAGACGGGGCCGGGAGCTGCAGTGGGGGGACGGCAGCAGCTTCAACTCCTCGTGAGTCCTGGGAGGACCGGGCAGGGGATGGGGGGCACAGGGGGACAACATGTCCGTGCCGTGGTTCCAACGCTGTCTCTGCTCCTCCCTGCAGGGTTCCTGTCCTGGGCAATGCAGGCTGTGTGTTCCTGGCTGAGGGTGTGCTCAGGAGTGCTCCCTGCTCAAATCCGATGCCCTTTGTCTGCAGCAGGACCCAAACTCACCTTGGATGAAAGGGGATGGAGAATGGACCTTCTCTGTGCTGGACAGTCACTGCTTCACCTCTTCACCCCCATTTTGGGGATATTATTCCTTGGCCAGAGCATCTGCCTTGCACTGACCACCAGGGTCACCTCAATACCAGTTTGCAGGGTCACCTCAGTGCCTGCTCTCAGCGTCCCCTCAGTGCCTGTCACCAGGGGATGAACCTTCAGGAGGAGGAGATGATGTGGAAGCTGATGTGTGCCTGCTTCTGCTGGGGCTGGGGGTTCCTTGCTCCTTCTGGAACTATTCCAGAACTCAAGTGGTTTCTCAAGCACTTTGTGTTTATACACAAACTCTGTTTCTATATATGGATTCATATCCCTGTACTGCCATAGGAATGGGGCCTTGGTTGGGGTAAGGTGCTAATAATACCAAGGTTGGTATTTGACCCCACTGGGGCCATTCCCTTAAGAGCAGGACTCAAACCTTGTGGGTCCCTTCCAACACAGAGGATTCTCTAAAATGGCCTTGTGTGATCTTCATCAGTGTTTATGGTACCAATGTTGCTGCTGTCATTCATTGCATTTTCTTATTTTTATATTAAATGCTTGTCAAGCCCCCACTGTCCCTCATGTTCCCTTGGCCCCGGCAGCCCCACCCCTTCCCTGCTCCCCTTCCCTCGTTCCATCCCGGCTGGAGGAGCCTTGGAGCTGCCGTGGGGGCCGTGGGGCTGCCCCGGGGGCTGCGCCCCGAGCCGGGGCCCCTTCCCAGTGCTCCCAGTCTGCCCGTGCACCCTGGAGCAGCCAGCGAGGCTTCAGCTGGGCCGGCACAGAGGCGCTGCTGGGGGTGCCACCTCAGTTTGCTTTTGTTTGTTCTTCTCAGCTTGGGGAACAGTGATCTGGGGAGTTTTCTGCTTGCAATCTCTCCCCTTCTCCACTCAGCCAAAGGAATTTGGGGCGATTTTCATTTTTTGGGGGAAATCAAAGCGATGTTGGGCTGAGGGGAATTGTCCCCTGGTGCTACTCTGACCAATCAGCTTCAGGAATGAAGAGTGGCAGAAGAGTCAGTCAATGGGGATGAGCGGCGGGCTTTGCCCAGGGTGTATAAAGGGGTCTCTGAGGCACGCAGAGCTCTCCTGAGGCGCTCTCCAAATGTCGGGGGAGGAACAGCCCCAGAATGTCCCAGGCCGGGCAGGAGTCCGAGGAGCCGCTGTGGGTGAGTCTGGGATGGAGCAGAGGATGTGTGAGAGGGGCTCGAGTCGGTGGGAAGTGACCCCTGGAGGGCCTTGTGGGCCCGTGGGGGGATCCCCGCTAAAGCAGCCTGGCTCTGAGGGGCTGAGTCCCCTGGGAGGAATCCCAGGCTGGAGCAGGATGAGGATTCCTCTTGTGAGCCAGAAAATGGCCTTTCTTACACAATTTGAGGCATTAGAAAGCAGCCATTCTGTACCAGTGCTGGACACACCCAAGGCTCTCACCTTTAATGATGTGTGGGATGAAAGGTTGGAACCGGATATTTATTCCCTCCTGATTAACCACATTCATTGCAAGGCTCTCCTCCCTGGCTAATCCATAAACACAATCAATAAACCTTTCCCAAGACTCATTTCCCTCCATCCACCTCCTGCTCAGAGTCCTTTTGTGGTCCTGGAGGGTCATCTGAAGGAGTCTCTGGTGGTGGCCCTCAGCGAGTGCCCCGATGTAACCCAGTGACCTTGACTGGAACTTGCTTCTTCCAGAACTTGCTAAAGACCAGACTGTCACTCTCTTTCTCTGTTTCTGCCCTGCTTCCATCCACATTTATCATCCTGTGTGCACGCTTGCCAGACTTTAAGCTTCCTTCAGCACTTTCAGGGGAGCAGAAAAATTCTATTCTCTGTTCTTTTTCAAGTATCCCCTATTTTTGAGATTATGTCTCTTTTTAGAGCAGTCTCAGCCCTGCATTTCCCAGCACAGAGTGTCACAAGGAGTTTACCAGGGAGTCATGAGACACCCACTGGTGGCTGGGTGGTGTTTGGGCAGTGGTGTGGTCAATCTTAGCTAAAATGTAATTATATCTAATCCTAGACAAAACATAACCCACACTTCCATGGCAAGGTTATTCCTTCTTCTCCCTCAGCCCCATTGGGTTTGGGGACAACAATTCCACTCTGCAGGACCCAGACCCTTTTTAAGCCCAGCCTGAAGCCCCCATGGGACGCTGCTCAGCTTCACCGCGGCTCTGGGGTGACAACGCTCAGCAGGGTCCTTTCCCCTGGGGCTGCAGAGGGGCCGGGCCCGGTCCTTGAGGTGCCCCCGGGGTCCTGTTGCAATTCCTGCCCTGCTGTGTCCATCCCATGGCTCTGGACAACTGCCCACGGGAAATCCTGGGATGTTTCACCCAAAGATAGGAGCAGTTCCTGAGCTCTGCCCCCTTTCCCCTGCACAGCCCTGGGCTCTGTGGGGTTTGATGGGGCCGAGCACAAAGCAGCTCCCAGGGTTTCGTGTTCTGTGCCCTGGGTTGGATCCTGGTTCTCAGCAATGCCATTGGGAGCTCTTGTACCCAAACCAGTGAGGTTTCCTGACAGATTTTACTCAGTTGTCAATTAAAAATACAATTCATCCTTTCTCCCTTCCCAGTACCTTGTGGTTGGTGTGGAGTGTGCAAATCCCACTGAATTCCCGAGGCCCTGCTGACTTGTGCCACTGTTCTTGCTACAAACTGGGACCTTCTGGCTGATGCCATCCCTGGAGGAGCTCCAAAGTGAGGAATTAGTTGATTTAGCAATATTTTCAGTGCTTCTTTTGCAGTGAAACACTTCAGGCACCTGTAAAATGCACCCTCTAAAAGACATTAACAACTCTCAGTACAGGGAAGTTCCGTGAAGTCAATTTACCAATAACGTCTTCGGGAGTTCCCAGACTGCAGAGCCCACATCTGCACTTTATTCACAGAACTTGGGTATTTCTTCTACATGTGCCACACTTTTGAGTCTTTGAATGTACAATTTCAATCATTTTGCAGCTCATTCTTGCATTTCTGAAGTGTTTTAACAACTTTTCTGCTCTCCTGTGTGTAGATTGATGCTCTTTGTTCACCCTTTCTCTCACAATCACCTCAGCAAGTGTCATCTGTCCAGGACAGGTGTCTGCCCATCCACTGGGGTGAGATCTAGAATTTAACACTTCAATTCCCTGGCAATCTCTTGCACCATGTTTGGTTCAATACTTGGTAGAGTGATCTCTCCTTGAGGAACCAACATGTGTTTTTTTCTGCAGCCTCCTTGACTCGCTTGTCCTCAAAGACATTCCCTATTCTGATCTTTCTCCAGTTTGTTCTGCAGCACTGACTGAAAACACTTCAGTGTGGTTTGTGCTGCTTTCTGTGTTTCCGTTCCATATTCAGCAAAACACACCCTGTGTGCACAACAAACCTCTCTCCAGATGGCACTTAGCCAAACCACATGTGCAATCCCTCCAGATGTTTATTTTCTTCCCTTCAGTTTCCTATTACCCTATTAGAGCAACCAGTTTCATCCTCCTGTGTTACAAAAACTCACAGAAGAGTTTTAGATTCAATGGTGACTGCATGTCCTGAAATTACTGTGGCTAACAAAGTTCTTTTTTTCTATGCACAGTTCCCAGTCTGGGTTCTCTGTCCGATTTGGCCTTTTTACTCTGACTGGGCTGGAACTAAAACTTCTTGTGATTGTTTGCAGCCACTCATGTCTGGAGTGTTTTTCACTGTGGAGCCCAATGAAAGCCCAGCAGGATGAACAGCAGAGGAGTTTCCAGGGTAATTTCCTGTCCCGTTGTTCAGCAGGGCTGGGGACAGTCCATGGCTCCCCTTCTGTCCCAAACCCTCCTGTCCCTCAATGTCCCCCAGCCCTCGGGCTCTGTCCCTCAGTGCATTCAGGGATTGTGAAGCAGCAGCTCCGTGGCTGTGACTGCTCACAGGCAGCTGGGCCAGCCTGGACTCACCTGATTGAGCTGTTCAGGGGGAATTTGCAGTGACTCCACCCTGAGCCCCTGGAAACTGTGCCAGAACCTCTTGGGAAAGATTTTGGCTCTCAAAACAGAAAAATTAAAAGGTCTCTGGGATGTGCCAAAAGCCCAAAGGCAGAACTGTCCCTGGTGCTTGCTGAAGTTGGAGAGTGGAATGCAGCCCCAGTTCCATCCACCCATATCAGGAAATCATCATGGGGAGTTTTGCAAGTCCCTACCTTTTAATCACTGATTACTGATCTGTGTCCAACCATGTTCAGGAAGGTCTGCTATTCCCTCACAGTTTAAGGCTCCTGCTCTGTTTCCTTTGCCCTGGGAGATTTTCAAACCCCACAAATGTCCCAGATATTTTCCCCCCTCACCCCTTTTCTCTCCATTCCCTGTGACCATTTTGTGCCAAGAAGTTCAATCATTCAGCAGTCAGGTCCCTGCTCTGCTCTTTAGTGTCGCTGCCTCTCAGCACATCAGCAGAGCCCCGTGGGGATCAAAGCTCTTCCATTGCTCTCATTCCTCTGACAGTGCAGTCCAAAAAAATCGTGGGGCTGTTTTTAAATCCTCAAGCTAATGCAGTCCTGGCTGTGGATTTTCCCACTCAAATGGGAAGAGTTCGTGTCTGGAGTGGCCCAGAGATGTGCAGGAAATGTGTCCTTGAGATGTGTTACAGTGATCCCTCCCAAATGCTCTTTTAGTGGAGTTAGGAGTGTGGATGGCTCAGCTCCCATCTTTTATTAATTGCTATTAACACCTGTACTAATTGATCATCTCTGTCATTAGCCGCTAATGATCATTATTGATCATTAGCCGCTGTGGCTGGCAAAATTGGGGGGTTATACCCAGAGTCACATTGCACCATGAACCCACTCCCTAAAAATCTGTTAGGGACAGCTGAGAAGCCTTTTCAGTTTTCCATTTTTCAGGGATGATTTTTCACTCTTACCAGGCCTGTGCTTGGTTTTAATTTCATTCTTACAGSTTCTGCTCTTTGGTTTTCCACACATTTCACTGCCATAAAGRATGTTACTGTGTCCTCAGTTTGCTTTGGGATAGGCTCAGATCAGGAAGTCACTGCCTGTCCCATGAAAATAGAAGGTGTCACATATTTAGACTCAGGAATAGACTCATATTAGACTCAGGGTTTTTAAGTCCCCTTCACGAGACTTGATCTCTTTCTTTCCCCTTTTCCAGTGAATTTCCTCCTTATAATGGTACTGGGTTGCTGGGCAGGTACACAAATCCATGGGTTGTCCATCATTTTCCCAGTTTGAATTTATTTGGATGGAAAAGGCTCCCATTTCACTGACAGCTGTGACAAAGTCACCTCTTAACTTCCCTTGCAGGGTGTTTCATACGGAATAAGCAGTTTCTGTACCTTCCAAAAATCTGAATTTTCCATTTCCCTGAGGCTCTGGTTTCCTTTGCAATTTCTCTGCTCTTTCCAGGAGAGCGCTCCGAGGAGACCTGAGGCTGCTCCCACTCCCAATGTCCATCCTTTAACAAAATGCACCTGGAAGTGTTCCCAATGTTCCTGATGAAGGTCGAGGGACTGAACCCCTTCCCCTGCCATGAGAGTCCTCCCTGAGGACAGAGTCATCTGCTGACTTTAACTGCTGTTATTTTAATACCTTTTAAGGTATTTTAATACCTTTTATTATCTTTTATTGTGTTGTTACCCACTATTGCGGCTGGCCTGTTTATACCCTCTGTGGGTGGGATTTTAGTTCTAAATTTACACCTTCTTCCTTTTGATAATCAGTGCTTAGAGCAGACTTCTCCTATGCTACATGTGTAACAACAGTGAAATTAATTAAATTATTATTCAACAGACTGGAGCAGTAGAATGAGCAGTGAAACAAGTCCTAAATGAAACAACTTCCCCTGACCAGTCTCCTGCCCGATTTCCTCCTCCGCACCCAGTGGCACAGGGGGATGGGGTCACAGGTCATGTCATTGTCTTCCCCTCAGGGACAGGAACCCTCCTCCTGCTCCGGCCTGGGGTCCTGTCAGGGCTGCAGGGGGGTCCCTGCTCCATCCCAGACTCAGCCCAGCTCCCAGCGCTTTCTGTCCCTGGTGGCACCGAGCTCCCGCCGGTTCAGGGCAGCAGAGATTCCTTGGCCTCCTGCCCGGGCCGGGCACAACGTCAGGGGTGGTTCCTCAGCCGAAGGGTTCATTACTTTCCCCGACCCGGGCACAGCGCCAGGGGCGTCACTCGCCGGGAGGCTCCCGCTGTCGCTGCCGGCGGAAAAAACCCTGGAAAAGGCAATTCCCGGGCCGCGTGCCCAGCCCGCCCCGCGCTCCCATTGGCTGATTTCTCCCACCACGCCT